TGCGCATCGAGAGACGTGAAGAGCCAGCTGGAAGAAATGGTTTGGCAGGGCATCATCGCCTCCTTGGGTGACGAGCCACCAGATTGGTGCCATCCACTGGCGCTGGGCACAAAGTCTGATGGAGGAGTGCGTATATGAGTTGGCCTCACCAACCTCAACAAGGTTGTAAAAAGGCCTCTGCACCCACTCTATACTCCAAGAGACGCCGTCTCTGGTATCCCCGTGAACGCGAAGATGTTCTCCACGCTGGATGCCAAGTCAGGATACTGACAGCTCCCTCTTCAAGAAAGCAGCCAACACCGCGAGCGTTCATCATCCCCTGGGGGCGCTTAAGGTTCCTCCGAGCGCCCATGGGCCTGGTCTCAACAGGGGACGAGTACTGCCGAAGTGGAGATCAGGCTCTCCAGGATCTGGACCACATCGTCAAGGTGGTGGACGACATACTTGTTTACAATGAGGCAATCGAAGACCACGCAGACTGTTTACGAGCTGTTCTCACACAATGCCGCCAACATGGCATCACGATCAACGGGAAAAAGTTCTGGTGCGCACAGGAAGAAGTCTTCTTCTGTGGCTGCAGTATATCTTCAGCCGGGAAGGAGATCAACTCGGTCAAGGCTTAAGTATTCATGGGCCTCGTTCAGCAGTTCGGGGGCTTCTCCACCGATATATCATCCGCTGCAGACGCACTTCGTGGTTTACTGAAACCTGGCAACGCTTTCGTGTGGACACCGGATCACCAAACAGCCTTCAACGACGTCAAGAAGGTTCTGGCGTCACCGCCTGTACTGGCTCATTACGATCCGCATCTTCCGACGGTTTTTCAGACCGACGCTGCTCCGTCTGAAAGGGCTCGGATACGTCCTGCTACGACAGCACGGTGATAACTGGCACCTAGTCCAATGTAGGTCCAGGTTTCTCTCTGACACCTGAAGAAGTGCCGCATCTTTTTGCAGGGCCTGCAGCACTTCAGTCATCATCGACCACCGGCCCTCGATACCGATATTGAACGATTACACTCTGGATGTCGTCGAAAACCCACGTATCCAACGTGTAAGGGAGAAGACCAGTCTCTACAACTTCACAGCCATCTGGCAAAAAGGCAAAGACCATGCCATCCCCGATGCACCGTCACGTGCTCCTGCTGAAGAACCGACGCCTGAGGACAACCAGTTCGTCCAGTCTGTAGACCACCATGTCCATCGCTCGTGCATCGTCACCATCAGTAAGGTCTTGACCCAACAAGCGCCAGCACATCTCCCAGACCCACGATTCGGTTGATCTCAAGAGGACAGCACAAGCCGATGAAACCTGCCAGCAACTTCTGGTTCCTGTATCCCATGGTTTCCCATCTTCCAATGAGATGCTACCACGTTCCTGACTCCCATTTTGGAACGTTCGCCACGAACTTTCGTCCCATGACGGCCTAGTTCTGAAAGGCTGCATCCTCATTCCGCGTGGTTCCCGGAAGGTCACCGTGAAAGCACTTCACGACGCTTACCAGGGGATCGAGCGCACCAAACGACGAGCACGCCAAACTGTCTGGTGGCCCGGCGTGAACAGCGACATCGCCAACACTGTGGGCAACTGCAGTCCCTGCCAAGAGCTCCGTCCAAGTCTGCCCCAGGGATCGATGGCCACCGACCCGTCGCCATCGAGGATCTTTGAAGATGTCTCTTCCGACATCTTCTCTCACGCGGGCAGAGACTTCTTCGTCTACGTGGATAGACTGTCTGGCTGGCTAGTTGTCTATCAACTCCCACGGGATGACACAACAAGTCGTCAAATCATCAGAGCCCTCCGAGGACGTCTTCGTCAGTCTTGGAGTCCCCGTCAGACTCAGGACAGATGGAGGACCTCAGCACAAGAGCCGCGAGGTCACCAACTGCCTGAAGCGTTGGGGAGTACTGCATGTCATGTCGACTCCGTATTACCCACAATCCAATGGACATGCGGAGGCGGTAGTGAGGGCCATGAAGCACGTGGGCTCCAAGACGGTGACTGATGGCTCTACCGACAACGACGACTTTCGCCAAGGACTCCTGAAACTGCGAAACACGCCTCGAGCCGAAGGACGTTCTCCGGCTCAAGTGGACTTTAGCCATGCCATCGGCTCCTGTGTTCCCGCTCATCACAGCACCTTCGCTGCTGAGTGGCTGGAGCAAGCAGAGGAATGTGACTCCAGGGCAGCAGCGTCTCTCCGCCGTGCACAACAGCACTACAATGATTCCGTATATGCACTGACGCCACTTAAGGTCGGGACCCACGTAAGGCGGCAAGATTCGATTAGCAAACGCTAGGACAAGGTAGGCACCATCGTGAGCGTCGGGTACCACAGAGATTACCTGACCAAGACACCAACCGGCACAGTCTCCTGGAGAAACAGGCGCTTCCTTCGTCCGTCACTTCAGTCCCCTCAAGCGCCATCACACGGACCGACGACTACCTCGGCATCAGAAGGAAAGGCCCCAGCGCCTCACCGTCGAGTACGATTTCAGCTCCCGCCGCCATCAGCTCTGCGACGGAGCATTCGTCAAAGAAGGACACCAAGCCACCTGGGCTATGGCATCTAAGAACTGCTCCTCCAGCAGTCCCGAAGGGCGGGGGGGGGGGGGGGTATGTGAGCACGCCCAGCCAGTCCGGTGGCGCAACATGCTGTCCCTGCCATGTCTCGAAGTGTCTTCGGCCGCGCGGTGGAATGCGGCCGGTGGAACCTACCGCCGGGGGCGCTGACCGCCGTCCCGCGGCGGACCGTACGGGACGCGTGATAGGTGCGTGTATGCAAGCTGACTTATGAGTGGTAGTTCACCCGAACTCAATGTTATGTCATGCCTGCCTGGGATGGCAGGGACAGAACGCCACTGGACTGGGTCCAATACAGATCTCCGCGTCGCTACACGCTGACTGAGTTGAGCCGAACCGCTGGACGAAGACATCACAATATTGGTGTACAAAGCGCCCCCGAACCTAGATACCTGTTCTAACCAAAAAGTCACTGGTGCTCATTTAAGATCGAATGCTTTGTTGGACCTTTTTCAGGTCATGGTGGCCAAGATCATGGAAGACAGCGCTGAGTTTTGCATTTGAAAAAAAAACGTCAACGATTACGTTAGGCGGTATGTTTCCAAGAAACAAAACATGGGGCCATTTTAGGCCAGTGACCTATTCTGAGCCTTAAGAGGTTCATGAAAGATTTTAAGGTGGTTCCTATTATCAATGAATTTTAAATGAGCACCAACACCCACACCCACACAGCAGGTTATAGATTAACAAAGCAGGTCGGTTTTGACCTTAGTTTAACCTTCGTACTTGACTCTAGGTCAATGGAATTTGTTCATTCAGTTGTTGTTCCGGCAAAATCTATCTCAAGGGTGTATGACTTGGTCCAGCATTCCGCCGCTGCATCAGACTGAACGATTTCTTAAAAACTGCCTTCGCTGGTTCCATGGTGAAGATTTGACCTGCTGCAGGTGAGCAATCTTACAAGGTGCACCTATATCTTTGATTTCGAACGATCTGCTTTAAATTGTCTACAGCTATTCAAAATTTGGAGGGGCTATGCCACGACGTTTGCCAACCATTTTGGAAAAACGCTCAGGGAAGAGGGGGGTGGGGGAATTGACCCCGCCCACCCGAGAGTGTGTTAATACGCAACACGTTGGATCAATGCATTTTCAGAAATGTTCTGCAAATTTCGAACGCTGTTATGTAATCTACTGTATGAATCTATCTATGAACTATGCCATTCTAGCTATGAACTATTAACTATGAACTTAAAGAAATTTTGTGGGCTAAATTTATGTGAGCCTACTGAGCCTAGTGAGAATGTGATGCTATGTGAATGCAGTGAGCATAGAGTAGGCTGCTGTTTTCCACTATGCCAGTTAGCTTTGGCACATTTCGGAGTATGATCTTTTGGGTTCCTGTGTGGCTTTGCACCGCCCGGTTGTGTTCACCTGCCGGTCTGACCGATTATATTGTTGCTGATGGGTCTGTGCGGTATGACGCAATGATCTCTCTATAATAATGACCGTTTTCAGGCTCTATGATCTTCAAAAATTTCAGTCAGGCTCCACTCCGGCCTCGCAGACTGAACACCGACCACGCGGGCTGAACACAGACGACGTGGGCCACACACAGACCATGCAGGCTCCTCACCGACCAGGCAAACTCCAAACCGACCACGCAAGCTCCACGCCAGTCTCACAGGCTTCACACCCGCTGTGGATACTACTGATATGGCATGCACCCTCGTCGAACGTGCTCCTCAGCATTCGCAATACACTGGGTTCCATCGAAAGGGTGGCTCTGGCTGGCTCATAGATTTTGTGAGCGGCCCCTCGGTGTCAAATCACGTCAACCGTGATTCTGGCCAGATACTGGTGTAGTGCAAACATTTACCTGTTTGTTTAAAATTCATTCGAAATATTTCACGAAAATCATACCAGCTGGACACCCCACATAAGTCTAACACAACACACAGCACGGGATGCACGAGGTCAGCGTCCGGTGCCCAGAGGAACCGTCGCCGGTGATCCCATGGCGACACAGGCCAGACGACCACTGACGTCATATCGGGAGCATTCGGCGCCAAATGGCTGTTCCTTCGACCAGATGCGGTAAGAGAAACCCCCCTGGGTATGGCTATCTGCGGCCACGCCAGGCTGATCGTCACACGACGACCCGAATTTGATGCTGCCGTTGAAGGAATCCACAACAGTAACCTAATGCTGCAACATTGCACAAAGAGCTTTCCCACTGCATCAGGTTTCTTACTCTGCGGTTTACATGAAGGGATAGGCCCTTCTCCGACCTTGGCGCGGGGGAGGGGGGAGGGGCGATAACTGATGATGGCCACTGTTCGCGAAGATCGAGTCGGCAACATCTCCTCCAATGATATGTGAGCATTGCGTGCAGCGTAGGCGTGGCTTCAGTCAGCACCGCTCCAGCCAATATAAAGCTGGTCGGCCCATGACCACAGGCATCACAGAAACCAGCGAGTTCAGCCATGAAAGTCCTGGTGAGTCATCTTCTTGCGATGCTTGCTAACGAGGTGCATTACATTATTCTGTTTAATTTTATTGGGAGAAACAGTCCCAGTCAGCAGCTTAAGGGACTGTTGCACAGTTGGATACATTAAGCCACGTATCAGACATGATACACACAACTCGCTTGTAGCTGTTCGTATGCTTTTAACCGCAAATGGCTGCTGTAGATCACAATTCCACTGACAATGGTATGTGGACCTTAAAACGTTGTCATTGGGTTAAGTCATGAGACGTTTTTAGGACGCTAGAGTCGCTGTCACATCTGCCGTGTCAGAGGTGTCGCTGTAATGAACTGTGTGACTCACTTGAGATACCTGTATGAGCCACAAAGCGGCGTTGCTGATCTACATGCGGCAACTTGATAAGCAAGCATTATGTGCGGGTTTTGTCTTTTTCTCTTGGTTTTCTTGGATATTTTCTGTGATATAATCTTCCTTACCTGCTCTTGCCTTTTTGGCTACGGCACATTTCTTAAGTTATTCGACACTTAGTTCCATGTTTGTCATATCTAGTCGTTGGTCCTCGTTTTTGTTTTATCTGGGAACAGGCTGCACGCGCCAGTCACGAGTGGGTCGAAGTTTCCCTGATGGGGGCCACGTCCGAGCGGCAGACATGCCCGTAAAAGGTTTCGTATACGGGCCAAATGTTGGAGTTTGGGTCCCCAGGTGCATATGGTCCTGCCCCACTGATATCCATTCTTCTGCATCTCACAGCCCTAAAATGACCTTTACTGGCCGAAAGGACTCTTACCCAATTAACAAAGTAACCAAAGTGGTCGAGCCATACAACTAGCAGCGCAATGTGCTAGTCAGTTGTCTCTCATCGTTTGGACATTAGGCGCTGCATAACTGGAAAACACGAAAGGTTAAACAGCCACATTGTCTTGGTCATGGGTACAGCACGGTCAATTAGGTGGGGGTTTCGCGTGACTTTCTATGAACTTGCACATGTCGGGTAAAAGTACTATAGGCGGTGGGTGATGGGGGGCGCAAGTCCATGTGCATTAAGTTCGGAAGCGAGATGATTCGGAGCCTTAAAAAGGGCGTGGCTGGAACAGCAGGGAATATGATGGGTACCAAGAAGTGGGTAGCTCAGTTCAAAACCACTTACAAACTTGGAATAGTACCTTTAACAGAAGTAATTTTCAATTGCGAAGATATATCGCTAAATCCGTTCTTTTATTAGATAAATGCCACTGTTATCTGTTCGTGCGTTCCTTGCCATCTTGCAGATGACAAAACGATTTCTTTCGCTTAGGTCGGCATCGCTGACTTGAAAAAAAAATCCGTCAGGTTTTTTCGGCGATATATTTTCAGCAGCAACGTCCTATGGCATTTCTCTCTTCTTTCATTTATTTCTAAAAGCAAATATTAGGTCCAGTTTGTCTGTTTCAGGTGGCCATGTTCGTTGTCCTGGCCGTTGCGGCTGCCGGCGACGACTCGCACACCGCTGGCGAGCCGAGGAACCCGGGACAGCAGGACGCGCTCCAATACTGGATGAATTTGTTGGCCCCCTTCGCCAAGTATGCTGGTGGTTTCTTGGGAAATATCCCTGGCTACGCCCCGGGCGGTGACGACCATCAAGCGTACCGTCAAAACGCCAATTACGGCACCAGCTTTCTCTTCACTCCTGTTGTCGGCTCGTTTAGCTATCTGGACTTCCGTGGTGTGAACCAGACGGTCGATTTCGCTGTGGACGAATCTGGCTTCCGCATATCCGGCACCAACCTGGCTGTGAATCCTCCCACGGAGGTGACCACAAGCGATGACGGCTACCGCAAGTAGCGCGGCGCTCTCTGAGCAGGCCCGCCTGTAAGACGAGGCCGCTCTGGGTAATGGCATAGTACCTGTCCTGCCAAGTACCTCCCCCTCGGCGTCCACTGCCCTGGAACGCTCCCGTCACGTTCCAGGGCACGCACGGCCCGGAGGGCGTATCTTACTCCTACAGGTCTCTTCACCCGAACACCTCCCTTACCTTCGCCTGTTTTGGTATGCGTTCTGTGCGCTGCTCACCTGCGAGCAAATGCAAAATCTGCGTCCCTGACTCGCTCCCAAACGTTCTGGTTGTGTTCATTGGCCGTTACACCAGAAACCTGTCGTGTTTGGTGCATTCTCTCAGCGTGATGCCAGGGTGCGTGTTTATAGCTTACCGAGGTCGGCTGGAACGAGTGGTATAAAGATGTGGATCATTATGACACCATACAAAATATACTAGGCAGCAGTGGCATAGTTTATTTACTGGAGGGTTTGAGTGGGGTAGAGTGGGGATGGGAGTGCGGAGAAGGGTTGAAGAAACGCGTCCTAAGTTTTGCATGATGGGGTTGTGTCTCCTACATTTTTGCCCGTACACTGCATATTTTCACCTATTCCCACTCAAGATACCGTTTTCGGATCAGGCTGTCCCCGGATTCCAGTTTGACCGTCTAATCCCAGGGAGATGGCCGCATCCATGCTCGAGAGCACTGTAATACCGCTTGTATAAATACTGAAAGAGTTTTCACTGCACATCGCGAACAGCAGCTTAGCATCTGCATGTGGTGTCAAAAACGAACGGCTTTTTTGAAATCAAAGGCGGGGATGAGCCTGCGACGCGTAACATTTCAGTACCCAATACGGGATGAGTGCGACACGATCTCAACCCGACACCAAGTGACTGGGGCCAGGCCACATGTCGGTGCAGTTCTGACATAACAGTAGTGGTCTTGGCGCTGTAACGGCGTCCACCAACCCGAACACGTACGCTTTAGATGGATGTCGGGAGCAAAACACCACTACAACACTTTGTACAGACAACTCCACTGCAAGGGCGGTCATGACAAGAAAGGGAGATCGCTGCCGGCGAAAAACGAACGAAAGACGTCCGACTGTCGGACGTCGGGCGTCGCACTCAAGAGCAATCGCACTAATTACACACACTGTCTGTCACGGTGGCTTGAATAGCCCTTGACGTTAGAGAAAAAGGGCAATTGCCGGAATCGCCTCGAGTGCCCGCCAAGGCCGTGGGACCCACGGCTGTACGATTCACTAACCTCTGACATGACCGTCGTCGGCATCTTTGGCCTCTTCGGCCACTCCGGTCGGAACACATGTGCGCATAAAATTCAGCGAGTTACCCACGATATACCACGTAGTTGAATGTTGATACCTATGTGGACAATGCTATGTTAGAACATCAATATGACATCTTGCAAAGCTCAATATGTTAATTAGGATAACAAATGTGCGGTTAATTAGGATAACAAACTCTTAGAAGTTTAGAGGGAGCGGCCGGTACAGAACAATTACACTGCATACGGCGCATGAAACACTGCAGGGGATCTGGCGAGTACAAGATTTTGGAGAGCATTTTTGAGTTCCGGACACTTTTTCCTGTTTTCCCCCTGCTGGGTGGGGGCAAATCACAAGTTCTAGTGCAATTTACACTGTTCTTTGGGTTTCGCCGTCATCGAATTGGTGTTAAAGAAGCGAGAGCTCATGAAATTCACAATAATTTTCTTGTCGCTGCCGGAGGAAAATCACTAGATTGTGTGAGTAAACCACACACGGCGCAAGCTGGTCGGCCGCATGATGTCGGCAGGCTCCGTTCTGGTCACGTGTAGCTGATGTGTTGGATTCAGAGCAGGTGATGCTGCTCAGAGCTGAACACTGGGACGATGCTGGTGGACGATGACATCCCAGAGGGGTCAGCGCCCGTGCTGAGCGCTTGACATGGAGGGTGACGCACCGTCAGGATGAACGGACGCCCCAGAGAGCAATGACATTGCAACTGGAGAAGCTTGAGTCCATCTTGAAGGGCAAAAGTGCCCTCAACCGCCGCTGCCACCATCGTTGATGAGGAACGAAAGAGGGACTTCCGACGGGGCCGAGAGATGTATTCCAAATCTCTCGTAGTTTCGCACAGAGCGTCTGTGGCAGGCGAAGGCAGTCAGCGTCAACAACATTCTAAATGATGACTTATACGTCACACGTATAAGGAGCTCGTAACATAAATGTACATGCATAGATGACCGTCACCATCTTGCGGCGCGTAGAAGCACTACAAGTAAGTCACGCCGCCTACTACAATGACAACTCAAATACATTTAGACACATCATACAATACATCAGTGCTACCGTACATAAATGGATAATATTCCTCGCAAATGCACTCGAAAACTTAAGCAAATGTCGATTGTAATTACAACCGCGTGCTACAACACTGAAGGAGGAACATATGTTTTAGTGACTTGGACCTTTTCAGCACGGTCGTATGGAGAGACAGATTGTGAGCAAGTTGTAGGCACACTCCGCTGTCTCCCAATTTTTTGAGACATCATCTTAGTTCAGTTTCCAGTATGCTCTCCGTCCTTATTGTGCAGTCTCCTCAAAGCAAAATATTAACCGCCCGCTGAAAACGTTGACTCACCATATGAGCCTCACATGGCGTCATATAAGCGTCAAGCTGAACTTGTCCATCGGCTTTGTTTACTGGGAGAATAACATACGTGATTCGTGGATTCTTATAACTTTTTATCTCTTTCTTATAAAAACAGCGTGCTCCAGAAATTGTTATTTCAAAACTAATACTGTACTTATGAACTTTGAGCGTAACTTCACTCTTGTCAGAGTGGCGCCTTAAAACGCTCACTTGCGGCATTTAGCACTGTAAATCATTTGGGCTCGTGTGCCGGTGCGTGTCTTGCAATATGGATTGCAAGGAGCTGGTCGGTGTAGGTAAATTTGAATGCAACATTCGGCAGGTGAACTGCGTGAGGTACGAGTAGAAGCTGGCTAAGCTGTTCAGTGCATTAGTGGGGGATTTTAGTCACGTAGATACGACAGTAGTATTAGCCTTATTCCTCGGAAAAACCAGGAGAACGGTGATATAGTTAGGTTGATATTTCGGCAATGTGTCTTTCTCGAAACAACATCAAAAGTGTCTCTATAACTCCTACTATTGCTTCGAAAAAGACCTGTTGCCAATTTATCAGTCTAACTATATCTCCGTTCTCCTTTTTCCCGAGGAATGAGGCTAATACTACTGTCTTATCTAGCTAACTCCATTTCTTACACTTGCGGACTGGAAGTGCCATTAATGGAACAAGAGTGCTGCTTTTGGAGTAGGATTCAGGGTGATTGATACATCCCATTAATATCTTTGCCATGCTTCGTCACTCAGAAAGAGCTGATACCAGAAGCCTACAGCTGTTTCAAGTCACAGTGCCTTCTAATATATGCCTGATATCTCGAAGTGTGAATATTTGAAAATGCCCTGAAAAGTGAACTTCAGGAACATTTTTGCATTCAAGCTTTGGGAATTTCGTGCGTGTGTTCTAAGTGGTCTAAATTGTATGGTAAATCGTATGTTGGAGCATGCAAGGTAAAACAGAACCTTACGTTGGGGATAAGACCCGTCCCATTTTGTGCAAGATTTAGAATGTATACAGGCTTAACATCTTGCTGACATCTTTGTCATACATTGTAGGCTGGTTGATTGCTTGAAAGCAATTTCCACTGCGAAGATTGAGTTGGTCTTTGATGAAAAGCAAGCCACAACATGTGTGGTTACCAGGTGTCTTGATTCATACAAACAATGCATTCTTTGGTAAGATTTCTTTAGTATTACATGGATACCTTGATCATAAACTAGGAGATATTTAAGTTGTATGCCAAAATACACGCGCAACACACATTCATTAGCGTATTAATATATATATATATATATATATATATATATATATATATTCCCTCAGTATACTGCGGGAGTATTGAGTACATCACACGAGGGGGTCTATCACTCACTTTTTTAGTACCAAAAGTAATAAGAAATAAATCCTTGAAAGCATTTCTCTGCTTAGTATCATCATAGGCCGATTGACTAAGAAGAACAAATGCAAATTATTTCCTAAAAATGGTTGCAACGGGCGGAAAGAAATTGACTGTAAAATCGGCATGCTACACCTTTTAGGTCTAGCTTTCCTCTTCCGGTTGCGAATCGTCTAAACCCTCACCCTGATAGGATGGGGGGGGGAGGTAATCCAACCTTCCTAAGGTTTTCCAGGATACTGTCTTTCAGTAGCCTATGGTGCATCCATTGCGCGTGTTTTCACACGAGAAACGTGTTTCTAGCTTTTCTGGTTTTGGAGCAGTGGCGGTTTGGAGGAACGCTGCAGAGCGATCTATGGCCTGCGCGGGCAACGGGCGGTATTCCGCGGCATCTATGCCGCGGAACGCACGCAGGGGGCGGCACTGCTGCCTTCGCAGAGTTATATATGAAAAACATGTACTCAAAACACATAAAATTAAACACCATCGTACTCAAAATTGGATAAAAATCACGCCTGCTTCAGTTTTGTGCCCCTTATAGGCGTGGTCTCGTAGGCATGATGAAATCTGTGTGTGATTTTCTGGAAAAGCCGACTTCAATGCAAAGGTCTATTTTTTGGACTTTAAGTTTGAACAAAACTTTCCTGATACGCGTCGAAACTTAAAGGGATGAACATGTAACTTGTTAAGTTTTAAGAAAAGTGCAGTGGATCAGTGCTTGTTTTAAGCAGAGAAGTTGCTTATGGATTCATGACTCATAATTATTCAATGCACGTTATCGTTGCCGGTGCAGGGCTGACGGGCCACTCGGTCCCAGTGCCAGGTGTGTTCTGGCCGCCATTCTGGCGACACGGGTGTCCCTTTGTCCATCCGGAGACACTTTGAGGGATGCACCATACCATCTTGTACTCCATGAACATGTGCTGAGAGGACTGTAAACAGCTGTGCAGAAAAACCAATGATATTTAACAATGACAGAA